CAAGAAGTACAAAGAGAAGGGAAGGTCTCTCTTATTCAATTTGAAGGATAAGAACAATCCTGAGCTAAGAGAAAGTGTCATGTCCGGAAAGATATCTCCAGAGAGATTGTGTAATATGACAGCTGAGGAACTTGCTTCTAAGGAGCTTTCTCAGTGGCGACAAGCAAAAGCAGAAGAGATGGCGGAGATGGTTGTCCTGCGGGATGCAGACATTGATGTCAGAAATCTGGTGAGGAAAACGCATAAAGGTGAGTTCCAGGTAGAAATTGATCCTGTTGATAGTGGGACAGTGGATGTCTCTGCTGAGATTACCTCACATAGTAAACCTCGAGCCAAAGCAAAATCCGCGAAATCATCTACCAAATCCACTTTAAAGAAAAATGACTCGAATGATAAGAACATAAAACTCAACCAGGGAACATCATCTGCTATGACTCTGCCCCCAACAGAGGAGATTGATCCAATGCATGGTCTGTCAATGGATGATGAGATGAAGGATGTGGGTTTTCTTCCTCCAATTGTATCGCTTGATGAGTTCATGGAATCCCTGAACTCAGAACCTCCATTTGGCAGTCCACATGAGCATCCTCCTGTAAAGGAAGAGCCTGCATCTGAGAAGAGTGACTCTAAAGATGGGTCACATTCAAAATCACCTTCAAGATCTCCAAAACAGTCTCCAAAGGAACCCAGTGAGAGCGTCTCTTCCAAAACAGAACTCATAATGACTAATGTAACTTCCCCAAAACCGGATGCTGGTGTCAAACTCGACACTGATGTCTCTAAACCTGAAGAAATACTTTTGGTTGATAACATTAAAGAGGACCGAATATGGGATGGTATACTGCAGCTTAGTGCCGCTTCCGTTGTCTCAGTCACTGGAATTTTCAAGAGGCAAGTCTTCTTAATTACTTTAAACTTTTATCTCTTGTTTGCTATTTGGATTCGAACATAGTGAAATCAAACCATTATAGAAATGGGTTATTAGTACCAAAGATATGCATGAAGCTAAGTTTAGACTTAATAGGAAACAGCTCACAAAAGAGTACATGTAGAATTATATCACACTCTGATGTTTATTTAATTTGTAGAACAAAAGATGGAATGAGAAAAGGATCTTATGTGGGTATCATTGAATCATACATTGTGTCTGACTCGATTTGCTCGTGCAGTGGTGAGAAAGCAAAGACAGGCGAGTGGCCAACAATGGTGGAGGTAAAGGGTAGAGTGAGACTCAGCGCGTTTGGGAAGTTTGTAAAAGAGCTTCCGTTGTCTCGAAGCCGTGTCTTAATGGTATACAAAGTTTATTGCGTGCATTATCTTTGTAGTAGCATTAGCACTATTAGCTTCACTCTCTTCTTTGTTACTACTACTACTACACAAGCAATAATAGATCCACAAAATCTCATCTCAATATTGGAAGTCCTTTCTTACTGCAGAGATTAGGCTCCCCAGTTCCCATTAGCTAAAACATGGAACCCAGAAAGCAAAAAAGCTCACGGTTGATCTACATCTGTGAAACAGGACCGGGACAGTAAAAAAAAAGCCCTGATTGACCAGAGAATCAACTGTGGATTGAATCTGAAATTTTGTATAAAATCATGAAATTTTGTATGCCAAATCACTTTTAGTTGTATCGTTAACTAGGTAGGAGATAGAATCATCAAAATGTTACCAAGAATCTCTTACAGAGAGAAAGTGACCAGACCACAAACGCCAGAACTTGGTCCTTAAACTACTTGCAGATCTTGACCCAAAATAGATTCTCGCTCGAAACATATTTCTTTGTCTTAGAGGACAAAGTTTCTTCTTATATGCATTTTTCGTAATTAGTGTAAATAATAATCAAGCTGGTACATTAAATTGCAGGTAATGAACGTGGTTTGCAAGGATGGTATCTCTCAGAGCCAACGTGATAGTCTTTTTGAGGTATTAATTCTAATTCTGATTATTATTCTTTTAATTTTTATATATTGTCATTTTACTTCTTTTAGTACATAAGACATTTATTAGTTTTGCTTATAAGTCTTTGCCTTTGTCCTTTTCTTTTTGGGGTCAGGTTACTAAGTCGTACGTAGCTGACCAAAGAGTTGGCTATGCAGAACCAACCTCAGGCGTTGAGCTTTACCTCTGTCCACCACGCGGTGAAATACTTGAGTTGTTGAGCAAAATCATCTCCAAGGACCATTTTGATGAGGTCAAGTGTTCAGAGGATATCGGGTTGATCGGTGTTGTTGTGTGGAGGCGTGCAGTTGTCGCGTCTCCTGGCTCACGACATAAGCCTGGATTCAAACGTCAGCATTCTTCTTCTGGTGCTAAGAAGTCTGTGTTGGCTCCAGAAAACAAAAGGTCTAGTTGTGTGAATGTTACGAATCCGCCGCCTGTTGTAAATGTTGCATCCATGAGGAATCATGGTTTGGTTGGTTGTGATGATGATGATGAAGACGTGCCACCTGGATTTGGGCCAGTAGCTGCGAAAGATGACGATGATTTGCCGGAATTTAACTTCAGTTCCTCCAGTGGACCGGTTACTTCTTTTCCTCAACCACCGCCTCAGTCTCGGTCTATGGATCAAGTAAGGGAGCTCATTCTTAAATATGGAAATTCAGCAGGTAGTGGTAGTAAACGACCATGGGATGGTCATGAGGATGATGACGATGATGACATTCCTGAATGGCAACCGCAAGTCACAGGCCACCAAGTTCAACTGCCACCACCACCTCCTGACTTGAGTCCTCAATTTCATAGCAGAACCATGGCTAGACCACCAGCACAACAACAACCAGTTGCGGGACCATCGAGTGGATGGAAGGCCTATCAAAACACACCTAGACAACAACAGTACAGTACACGTAGGAACAGAGGATTTTGATCTTTGTGAATGCGTTTGTGTAATTAAAGTTTGTTAGGTGTATTGACTTCTCTATCATCAGCTTTTTTTGTTTTGTAGTGTTTCAATAGAATTGTAAACCTTTGAATAATGGAGTCTATTAAGCATAAAAGTTTGAATTCAACATAATCAAAGATTTGTACAGATTACAGGAAGAAAGATCTCAGTTCTTCAACTTGCTAAGACCCGCTTGAGTGCGGATTTCTGCTCTGTTGTCAATCTTGCTGGAAACTGAACATCGAATTTGATCTTGAGATCGCCTTTGTTTCTTGGTTCTTTAGCTATTGGCATCCCTTCTCCAGGAACCACAAACTCATACCCGGGACTTACGATTTCCGAGATACCAACGGGTAGATTCCGCCCATCGAGCGTGTTGATATTCACAGTTGTTCCTCCTATAGCTTCTGCTAGCGTTACTCTTTGGCTTGTGATGAGATCATTCCCATCTCTCTTGAACAAATCGTGCGGTTTCTCGTCGATTACAAACACTAAATCAGCTGGTAATTGATTCACTTGCTCATTTCCTTTGTCCGGAAACTTGATCTTCGTCCCTTTCTTCCATCCCGGTTTCACAACAATCGTTAGAATCTCTGTTTCTTGCGCCTGTCTCCTGCACCATCCAAAGAAACACCAATGAACAAAAAAAAAATTGCCACCATTCTTGAAACTTAAGAACAAGAAGTCTAAAAGAAAAAGTTTACCCGTTAGCGTCAACAATGGATCTAGAGATCTTCATTTTCCTAGTTGATCCAGAATACAACTCTTCAAGGCTACAAGGCAATTTGCTCTCAACCGGTGGAGGTTTCTTAGGCGCAGGAGTGCCTTCGCTGTAAGTTCTGAATATATTGTTTTCGCTTCCGTTGTTTCCACCACCAAATCCGCCAAACATTCCTCCTCCACCGTCTGATTGAAACCTCATTGACCTTCCAGGACCACCAGCTGATCCAAACCCAAATGGACTACTTCCAAAGAACTCTGCAAATATATCTTCTGCATTTCTCGGGTTAAAACCGCCCGCTCTTCCATTGTTTCCCATGCTCCCAGGAGGCGGCATATCGCTTAATCCTTCTTCCCCGTATTGATCATATACCGCTCGCTTCTGCGGATCACTCAAGACCTGAAACATTCCCCACAAAAAAAAAACATTCTTAGGACGAAATCAATGGTTAGCAATGCAACAACATTGCCTCATATGCCTCAAGAATATCTGCTTGAGGAGATTCATTTTTTTGCTTATATCCCAAGAAAACAAACTCATTCCATAAATCTTTAGCTAAAGCAATGGATCTAAGGGAACAAGAGAATGAAGATTAGCAACAAAAAGAAAAATGGAAAGACTTGCCTCATAAGCCTCAGAGATCTGTTTAAACTTGGCTTCAGCTTCTGTTTTAGTATTAGGGTTTTTGTCAGGATGCCATTTCATAGCCAATCTTCTATAAGATTTCTTTAGATCATCCTCTGTTGCGTTTCTATTCACTTTCAATATATTGTAATAATCCAAACCCATCTTTTTTTTCGTTTTATAAAATTTAATCTTCTCTTCTAAATCAAACCCAGAAATAAAAGAATCAGATCTTCAAAATCTCCAATGTATGATTGAACAAATGAAGAAGAAAAGACTAGTTGTTCTGTAGAAAGAGGAAAAACAAAAAGATCACCGACTTGTTTTTTGTTTTTTTTTCTTCTACTGGAACAGATTGATCTTTGATAATTTACTCTAAAATCATTATATGACAGCTTTTGCAGGTTTAAACACACACAGAAATTCACGGAATCTATTTTCCTCATTTTTCTCCTTTTTTATTTATTTTTTGTTCTAGCAAAGTACTTATTTAGATAATTCTAATAATAGTACCCAGAGAGAGACATAAGAGCCGCAAAAGTAGCTGCATTTACAATTTTGTCAGACTATCTTTTAACTTGCTCTACCAATTTGTACATTGACATTGATTACAATTATTTTGGTTGACTAACATAATTAACGGATATTTCAGTCATTATTAGCATTTATATAAGGAATCTACAATAGCAACATATCATTGATTCATAATATCGAGCAGCAAAATGGCCAAAAGAGTAAAGATTGATTCGTAGCTTTTTCTCAAACCACAAAAGAAAAATCCCAATTCTCAAACTGAATTTTTTTAAAAACTATACATTGTACTCTCTTTTCCCAGAGACAAAGTGGGGAAAATATAGAAAGAGATCTCCTAAGAATATCATAAACTTGATATCATCCATTTGCAAGAAACTTAAGAAAAAAAAACTTCACATTTTTTAAGGACTCATCAAATCAGGAGGAGGATACAGGTGCGTTGTGGATACCCGAGGATGATGATGATGATGATGCATTCGCTTCATTCTTTGGTTTCGAAACTGTTGAGGTTGAAGGCTCGGTGATGGTCTCAGGTACATCGCCAATGTCCAGTGTGTCTGGGAGGTATTCCTGAGCTTCAGTACTGTAAATCTGTATGAAGAAACACCAAAAGTCAATACTGTGAACTTTCAAATCAACGGATCTATTGATAGTGAATGGATTACCTCGAGCTGGTTCAGCATTTCGATAGTTGCATCAAGATCACAACTGTTAGCCAAGTAAACATCATTGATAGACTCATGTGAAAGACCAGCGAATGTTACTAAAAGGTACTCAATATCCATATCCATCTCCAAATCCTCATCTTTCAACTGATGATTGTATACCATGTCAGAGGACTTCTTAGGCGACATTTGAGAACCAGGATAACTTCCCATTCCTTGGACTCCATAACCATGAGCTACATAATGATGTTGCTGCTGCTGCTGCACGTGATGATGTGTGGCAGGCTTTGTATCAGCCAAAGAACCCTCTCTTTTCGAGAGTGGTACGTAAGCTGCTGCGTAAGGATTCAATGTAGATGATCCTCCTGACTTCATTGCTAAGTGAGATCCACTATCAACAAACGAAAGACGGGATCAAATCGATGACTTCTGCTGCAAAATCTACACTAACAATCACAATCCTAATAGTCAAAACTGATTCCAAATCAATAAGAAACGTGACCTAACCAGCAAATCAAAATTGATGCCACAAACTCGTTGATCTAGTTCTTCGTGACGACATAGGTACAGATCAAAATCAATCTACACAACCTCTTGAACAAAAACGAACAACGAAACCCTAAGGAATCGATTCTACGATTCTAAAGCTTCACAAACATAGTTGAATCATGAACCTAACGGAGATAGATATACACTAATCAAGCGTCTATACTTCATGATCGATCAATCAAAACACGATTCGCGTTATCAAATCAACATAGATCGAAGAAATCAACAGACTAAAGAAACAGAAACACGATCGAAAGAGACGGATTCGAAACGAAGAACAAGGCGAGATGATTGCGATCACGTCAACGATCGCCGGAGACCTAGGAGAGAAATTGAGCTTACCTGAGGAAAAACAAAATCCGAAAGCGCCGTTGAAGAAGAAGAAGACAATGGTGAGAGAGAGAGAGAGAGAGATCTAAGAAACGCTAAAAAAGTGGGGAGAGGAAAGAAAACGACTCTCTTGATCAATAATGGACTTTTATATGCACAAAGAGAAGAAGCGTTTACTTGAAGGTCGCATCATTTTAGGGTCTGTTTGGAAACGTTATTATCTTATTCTTGACCTGGTTATTATTATCCCGGTATTCGTTTTCAATTTAAAAAATCTTTTGATATTTGAACCCGGTTTGCTGACGTGTCTTTCCTATGTGTCATAGTGATTAGTGTAAGAATAGAAATGATTTGTTTTTGATTAAACCCCTCAAAGTATCTATGTTTTACAAATTTATCTTCTACTTTTAAAATAACTACTCGAAAACCCTCAAATAGTATTTCCAACTTATTTAGTAGGGGTTGCAAAATTTATAGACTTCTTTTGAATGCAATTTCATTTAAGATAAGCTTTTGAGAACGAGATGTAACATAAATAAAACTGAAAATATTTAATTTCCTATGTTAGAGATAGAGAGATTGATGACCAGAATGAAAGGTAATATATCTTTAATATAATCTAATATTACAATTATACACGCTATTGTTTGCAAAAATCAATGGAATAAATTATTGGACAAAATTTTTAATTTAGAAATGACACATGTCGAAAGAATATATATTAAAAAATTGGACATCAATCTTGTAATGTATTTCCTTAGATTATTTTGTAATCAAATAGTTTGATATATGTTTACTTTGTACTATAAATTTTGCTAAGAAAATGAAGATCTAAATATTGAAAAATGTACCAAAACAATAAAAAATGTATATTGTATCTATTATTTGTAAAAATCATTGGAATAAATTTATTGGACTATAATTAAAAGAAAAATGATACATGTCAAAAGATTAAAGTGTCAAATGGTTAATAAATATGATGTGTATTAATTGAAATGTTTTGATTGGATATTGGTTTTAATGAAAGTGACACATGTCGCTCTCTGGTGAGATGTTTAAAGTGGAACCCTTCTATATTATATAAGATTTTTATACGTAACTCTGAAAATAAAAAATTCAAAAGTTCTTAGTGATATTTCCTAAAATTTAGCGAAAGTTTAATCGAACCAAAAAATCTGAAACCAAATCGAACCGTATCTAAAATTTTAAATACCCAAATGCGGTACTAAATTCTTCTATTCGAAATACCTAAAACCGAACAGATACTATTGCGAACCGAACCAAATATCCGAATACATCCTATACTATTATTTGGGGAGTACATTTTATAAGATACCCTTAACTAACCTTTCCTTTTGTAAGAATTTACTTAAGAATGTCATTACAAAAATCTTCTTTTAGAACAAATTTCATTCAATTTATTAAGGATAAACAAGTAAAATACTAATTTATGTCATTTAATTAATTTAATTAAATTATTAAACAAAAATCTGTTATTATTATTTTTTTTAAATTACCAATCAAAATGAGCATATAAGATTTGATATCTAACTTACCATATTAATTTGTTATTAATCATTAAACTTCACCTCTCATCTTTATATGATTATATTAATATGAAACAAATAAATCATCATATCATCTACATAATAAAAAAAAATAATTTTTTTTCTGCATATGCCAAGATTTGAATTTTTAAAAACGCATATAAATTGTTCAATCTATAAAGGAAACAATTAAACGGGTCAAAAATTCAGACTTGAGTAATATATTTTTTTTACACAACAATAAAGTCAACAAAAATTCCGACTGAGCAACGGGTCAGAATTTGAATATTTATATTCGATTTCATACATTTATTTTTTTGAAATGTATAATTTTATATACTACAATAAAAATTTAAATATTTTAATTTGCAACATTTAAAATAAGTTTTACTTGATATTTTTAGAGAATATCATCAATACTTAATAGTTCAAAAAGTTAAAAATTATAAATACTCTAATTTGATTATTTTTTAAAATATTTATAATAGGTAGTGGGTTAAATATAATATATTATATGATGAAATGAGTTTTGATCCTTAAACTATTTGAATAGTTATATTTAATTTCATATAATTTGTTTTTTGAAATTCATAATTTTATAAACTACAAAAAAATTTAAATATTTTAATTTGGAATATTTAAAAATAGTGTAGAACATTTAAATATGGTTTGGCACCTCTAAATATTTGAAAATTTGATTCCGCAAGCAATTTTAGAATTAACATATAATAGATTGTGTACGCAATATTTTAAAATGAAATATTGAGATTCTAAAATAAAAATATAGACTCCATGCATGAGCTGATTTTGGTATTATTATATACTAAATATAGGTTTATAACATATTCGATTATGCGAATAATTGGTAAATTCCGTAATTATAAATCTCAAACAAATTCTGTAATTAGATTAGCTTAAACAAATCTCTATTTCAACAACCAAAGAATTATAAATTGAAAAAGAATTTTCTATATTAATTCAATATAATAGCTAATTTTCTTAATTAATTCAAAATAATCTATGTTTTATATGTGATTCATTTATGATATTTTAATTTTTGATATAACTGAAATATATGCAATCCTATTTTGTGGTTGTTAACATAAATTAACTCATTGTTCAAAAAATATTACTTTTTGAAAAATAAAATTATTTTCCGTTTTCATATCTTTAAAAAAAATTATCCATAATTGAGCATTATAGAAAAAATTTTATATTTATTCTAATATTGTATATAGGGACTGACAAAAAAATTAATATTTTTTCACTTACTACTATAATATATTAAAACTTAGTTCTAATATATATATATATATATATTATATAAATTTTGTAATAAATAAAATTCAACCCGTAGTTTAGTACGGGTGATGATCTAGTGAGTTTAATAAGTCATAGGAATGATGATGTGTCATCATATTTAATTTTTGTTGGTTAATAAAAATGATGTGTATTAATTGAAATGTTTTGATTTGATATTGGTTTTAATGAAACTGACACGTGTCGCTCTCGGGTGAGTTTTTTTAAAGTGGAACCCTTCTTTATTATATAAGATACTAGATTTGAACCCGCGGTACACCGCATGGCTATATCTTTTTATAAAAAAAAATAGTTTGATTTTTTAGGTAAACTCTATGTTGGATTATACATTTTTGTTGTATTTGATGAATGTTCATATATATAAGTATATATTTATTCTTGTACGATTAATCCATTAGCATGTTTATGTTTGATGTTGTAAAATAGTGAAACGAAAACATATAATTGATTAAGTTACGATTTATGGTATTAAAAATAAAATATGTTTAATGTAGATTTTGCATATAGATATATTTTTATTGTTATTATATTTTTATATTTATAAATGTAAAACTTTGCAAGTGACCGAAAATTAGAATCTGATTTTTGGTCACATGGAATGACCACGATCCCTGTTTGGAATGACATATTGTAGAGATGTGTAGTAGGTCTGAATTGACGACTCACATAGTTGAGTTGAAAATTTTCAATGAACATCCAATCACCAACAGAGATTTGATTAGCATACTTGCTCACCAAGTCATTCTTTACTGAGCCATGCATTTTCTTTCCCTGCAAAGATAGGTCAATACATGTATTAGTAGATTAGAGGAGAACGATTTAACTCAATACTAAAAAATAGCGATTGAACTCGACCCGATGGTGGAGCTGGACTTTATTGGAGATGGTTTGATCCGGTTAACTCTGGTTAACTTGGTATTGGTTTAATGTCGATTATTAAGTTGTATATATAAGCTTAAGATTACAGTTTTATTTTTAACAAGTTTTGTAACAAACTCTGTTTTTAGACTGTTGAATAAAGATTCTCTTTGACTCCGATTCTTCTTTGCTCGTGTTCATCTTCTCCGATTCACCGGAGTTAATAGACTTGCCGGTCAGAAGGTCGAAATCAGCGGGTGGGTTAAAACGGGAAGGGAGCAAGGAAAAGGGAGTTTCGCTTTTCTTGAGGTGAACGATGGATCCTGCGCAGCGAATCTTCAGGTCAAGGTGGATGCTTGTGTGTCAGATGTCTCCAAGTTGGTTGCGACGGGAACTTGTCTGACCGTTGATGGATGTTTGAAGATTCCTCCGGAAGGTAAAGCTACGAAGCAGAAGATTGAGCTTAGCGCCGAGAAGGTGATTGATGTGGGAACGGTGGATCCGGCTACGTACCCGATTCCTAAGACGAAGCTGACTCTAGAGCATTTGAGAGACTATACTAATTTTCGTGCAAGGACCACCACGGTAAAACTTGCTATTTGATTACATATTCTTTAGAGTTTTTATCGGGAAATAATTACTTTGTTAAAGTGTTCGTTCGACTTGAAACAGATGGCAGCAGTTACAAGAATCCGACGTAAGATTACTCTTGAGGCTCACCTTTTCTGTGATGAACATGATATCTGTCACATTCACACTCCTATCATCACAACAAGTGATTGCGAAGGTGCTGGTGAAATGTTCCAAGTCACAACCTTGATCAACCAATCTGACGACAAGTCGCCCACCGAGGCTGACATTGAAGCTGCCAAGCTCATTGTCAAGGAGAAAGGTGAAGCTGTAGCGCAACTCAAAGCTGCCAAAGCAAGCAAGCAAGAGATTACTGCTTCCGTTGCTCAACTCACTGAAGCAAAGGAGACTTTAGCTAAGGTTGAAGAGAGGTCAAGGCTTAAGCCTGGATTACCTAAAAAGGATGGAAAAATTGATTATTCCCAAGATTTCTTTGCTCGTCAAGCTTTCCTCACAGTTTCTGGTCAATTACACGCCGAAACCTACGCTTGCAGTATGGGTGATGTGTATACATTTGGCCCCACTTTCCGGGCAGAGAAGTCTCACACCTCAAGGCATCTTGCTGAGTTCTGGATGGTTGAGGTTGAATTAGCTTTTGCCGGTGTAGAGGTAACAAAACATTTGATTATTTTTATTTTTATTTTCTTTGGTCGCCGCCGCAGTAACAGCTTTAAAATTTTTGTTTGTAGGAGGCTATGAACTGCGCAGAGGCACTTGTGAAAGACATTTGCAATTCGTTGCTTGAAAAGTGTGATGATGACATGAAACTTATGGCTAAGAATGTCGACAAAGCCTGCATTGACAGGCTACTATTGGTTGCCTCGACTGGGTTTGGTCGAGTAACATACACCGAAGCAATAACGCTACTTGAGAAAGCTGTGGCTCAAGGAAAGAAATTTGAGAACCAAGTGGAGTGGGGAATCGACTTAGCATCTGAGCATGAAAGGTCTTTCTTCTTCTATAATCCTTAAAAACTATTTCGAAAAGGGTTACTAATGTTTCAAAAGCCTCTTATTGTCTATAACTACCCCAAAGAGATCAAAGCTTTCTACATGAGACTTAACGATGATGGAAAGACAGTTGCTGCCTTCGATGTCCTCGTTCCAAAGGTAATAAAGCTCGAGTTGAAGTTGAATCCTTTTTTTTTTTTTTTTTTTTTTTGTGTGTGTGTGCACATCAATGGCGTCTATTTCTCTGTAAAATAAGGTTGGAGATGTTGGTCGTGATCAAGTCTTCATGGTAGTTTTATTTAGAGTCTTATATTATAGAGTTAAGTAACTGAGTTTTGTTATGTATAAACTATTCGTATTACACACCGAAGAGATACGAATAGAATCGTTAACTGCAAAACAGTTACACGTGTATGTATGTGTCTCTACATTGGGTTGTCTTGTAGAGACGTGTCCCTTAGTCAAAGTGTGTCATGTAAAACTATAAATACAGTTTATATATCTAATAAAAGTGTGTGGTTTTACGTTATACAAAACAGAGAGGTAAGACAAAACAGAGTAAAATCTGTGTTGTCCGATCCTTAAACACTTTGAGAGTTCAAAGTTCTACATGGTATCAGAGCTATGGAGACAACAATGCAGCAAGTTATTCCAATTTTCAATGGTGAATCATACGGGTTCTGGAAAATTAAAATGATTACCATCTTGAAGACACGAAAGTTATGGGAGATTGTCGAAAACGGAGTCACGGCGAATCCATCTTCTGAAAGCACATCGGAATCGATTAGAGAGAGAGAAGATCAATTGATGAAAGACATGTTGGCTCTCCAAATCCTTCAAAGTGCAGTCTCAGAATCTATATTTCCGAGAATTGCTCCCGCGTCGACCGCAAAAGATGCTTGGAATGCTTTGGAAATGGAGTTCCAAGGAAGTTCACAAGTAAAGATGATCAATCTTCAGACTTTGAGAAGAGAGTATGAGAATCTGAAGATGGAGGAAGGTGAAACCATAAATGATTTCACAACCAAGTTGATTAATCTGAGTAATCAACTAAGAGTTCATGGAGAAGAGAAGTCCGATTACCAAGTGGTTCAAAAGATTCTAATCTCCGTACCACAACAATTCGACAGCATCGTTGCGGTACTTGAACAAACAAAAGATCTATCAACTCTTTCTGTCACAGAGTTGATAGGAACATTGAAGGCGCATGAGAGGCGTTTAAATCTCCGAGAAGATCGTATCAATGAGGGTGCGTTTTATGGAGAAAAGCTTGGTTCAAGAGGAGGAAACAAGCAAAACAAAGATCGCCATGGGAAGACCAACATGTGGTGTGGCGTGTGTAAGAAGAACAATCACAATGAGGTAGATTGTTTCAGAAAGAAGAGTGAAAGCGTTTCACAAAGAGGTGCAAACTATGAAAGAAGATGCTACGTGTGCGACAAGCCAGGACACATAGCCAAAGATTGTAAACTTAGAAAAGGTGAAAGAGCACATCTAAGTATTGAAGAATCAGAAGATGAAGATGAAGATGGGTGTCATATGCTATTTAGTGCTGTTGAAGAAAAAGAGATCTCAACAATCAAAGAAGAAACGTGGTTGGTAGATAGTGGGTGCACCAATCACATGTCTAAAGACATTAGATACTTCATAACCTTGGATCGCAGCAAGAAAATTACCATAAAGATTGGTAATGGTGGGAAAGTCGTTTCCGAAGGCAAAGGAGACATAAGAGTAACCACAACCAAAGGAGATCATGTCATCAAAGATGTACTTTATGTACCCGAACTAGCAAGAAATTTGCTTAGTGTCTCCCAAATGATATCAAATGGATATCGGGTCATCTTTGAAGGCAACAAGTGTGTGATTCAAGACGTAAAAGGAAGAAAAATCTTGGAGATCAAGATGAAGAACAGAAGCTTTCCAATTCGTTGGAAAAATTCAAGAGAAGAAGCATATGTGGCTTTCGAAGAAAAAGAAGAACAAACAAATCTCTGGCACAAGCGTTTTGGTCATGTGAACTATGACAAGATGGAGAAAATGCAAACGCTAAAGAGTGTAGAAGATCTTCCAAAATTCGAAGTAATAAAAGGCGTATGTGCGGCTTGTGAGATGGGAAAACAACCAAGGAGGAGCTTTCCAAAGAAATCTCAAAGCAACACAAACAAAACCTTGGAGCTTATTCATTCGGACGTGTGTGGTCCAATGCAAACGGAGTCAATAAACGGGAGCAAGTACTTCCTCACGTTTATTGATGATTTCTCAAGAATGACGTGGGTATATTTCTTGAAAAACAAGAGTGAAGTGATCACAAAGTTCAAGATATTCAAGCCTTATGTGGAGAACCAATCGGAGAATCGGATCAAAAGGCTTAGAACAGATGGAGGTGGTGAATTTCTATCGAGAGAATTCATCAAACTATGTCAAGAGAGTGGCATACATCATGAGATAACGACTCCCTACTCTCCACAACAAAATGGTATAGCGGAAAGAAGAAACAGAACGCTTGTAGAGATGGCAAGATCAATGATCGAAGAGAAGAAGTTATCTAACAAGCTTTGGGCTGAAGCTATTGCAACATCAACATACTTGCAAAACAGATTGCCATCTAATTCATTGGAAAAAGGAGTTACACCAATTGAGATATGGAGCGGAAAGAAACCAAGTGTTGATCACTTGAAAGTTTTTGGGTGTGTATGTTACATACACATACCGGATGAGAAGAGAAGAAAGCTTGACACTAAAGCCAAACAAGGGCTGTTCGTAGGCTACAGCAACGAATCAAAAGGGTATAGAGTGTTATTGCTAAATGAAGAAAAAATCGAAGTGTCAAGAGATGTGACATTCGATGAGAAGAAAACATGGAGTCATGATGAAAAAGGAGAAAGAAAATCGATTCTATCGCAAGTCAAGATCAACTCACAAGAACAAGGAGGAGGAAATGATCTAAACGCTGAAATAGATCAAGTGAGCAACGCTTTGAATCAACTTCATATTTCAAACAGAGCAGTTCAAAACTCAGAAGAAGAAGGAGAAAATTATGTTGGTCCAAGAGGTTTCCGATCAATCAATGATCTCATGAACCAAACCGATGAAGTTGAAGGAGAGGCACTTATACATGAGATGTGTCTCATGATGGCTGAAGAACCACAAGCCTTGGAAGAAGCAATGAAAGATGGAAAATGGATAGAAGCCATGAGAGAAGAGTTGCGGATGATCGAGAAGAACAAAACATGGCAAGTTGTGGCAAGACCAAAAGACAAAAATGTGATCAGTGTCAAATGGATCTTTCGTTTGAAGACTGATGCAAGTGGAGAAGCAATCAAACACAAAGCAAGAGTATGGTGTGGATTATCTTGAAACTTTTGCACCGGTTTCAAGATATGATACAATAAGGATCGTAATGGCGATTGCGGCTCAACAAGGATGGAAACTCTTTCAAATGGATGTAAAGTCAGCATTCTTAAATGGATATTTGGAAGAAGAAGTTTACATAGAACAGCCACCAGGGTTCATAGAAGAAGGAGAAGAAGGAAAAGTTCTTAAACTTCACAAAGCGCTATACGGTTTAAAGCAAGCTCCTAGAGCATGGTATGGACGTATTGATGGATATTTTATCAAGAATGGCTTTGTGAGAAGCATCAATGATGCAGCGCTTTATGTGAAGAAGACCTCAAAGGAGATAATGGTGGTTAGTTTATATGTTGATGACATCATAGTCACGGGAAGCAAAATAAAGGAGATTAAACAATTCAAGGAGGAGATGAAGAATGAGTTTGAAATGACCGACTTAGGAGAGCTAAGTTACTTTCTCGGCATGGAAGTAACCCAAAACGAAGAAGGTATTTTCTTGTCACAAGAAAATTATGCAAAGAAGCTCTTGAAGAAATTTGGAATGCAAGACTGCAAAAGTCTGTCAACACCATTAACTCCTCATGGAAAGAAGAAGGAAGTCTTAAAGGAGAACCTTGAAGATGTTACAAAGTATAGAAGCATAATCGGAGGTTTGCTATATCTTTGTGCTTCACGGCCAGACATCATGTATGCAAGTTCATACCTGTCTCGTTACATGGCTGCTCCAACGATGCAACATTACCAAGAAGCCAAGCGAGTTCTAAGGTATGTTAAAGGTACTTTGAACTATGGCATTCAGTTCAAGCGAGTAGAAGAACCAGAGTTGGTGGGATTCTCCGATAGTGATTGGGGTGGTTCAGTGGAAGACAAGAAGAGTACAAGCGGCTATGTCTTTATGATTGGATCTGGGGCATGTTGTTGGAACTCAAGCAAGCAGAAGACGGTTGCTCAATCAACGGCTGAGGCCGAGTACATTGCGATTTGTTCTGCAGCAAATCAAGCCATATGGCTACAAAGGCTAGTGAATGAAATCGGATTCAAGACTGAAAAAGGTACAAGGATTCTCTGTGATAACAAATCTGCAATTGCTATAGGAAAGAATCCAGTTCAACATCGTCAAACAAAGCACATCGACATCAAGTATCATTTCGTAAGAGAAGCTGAGCAAGAAGGAAAAATCAAGCTTGAACATTGTCCAGGAGAGTTTCAAGTCGCTGATATCTTAACCAAACCGTTAAACACGTTAAGGTTTGAGTCTCTACGAGAAGAGCTAGGCGTGAAGATGAAGCCATGATCAAGGAGGAGTGTTGGTCGTGATCAAGTCTTCATGGTAGTTTTATTTAGAGTCTTATATTATAGAGTTAAGTAACTGAGTTTTGTTATGTATAAACTATTCGTATTACACACCGAAGAGATACGAATAGAATCGTTAACTGCAAAACAGTTACACGTGTATGTATGTGTCTCTACATTGGGTTGTCTTGTAGAGACGTGTCCCTTAGTCAAAGTGTGTCATGTAAAACTATAAATACAGTTTATATATCTAATAAAAGTGTGTGGTTTTACGTTATACAAAACAGAGAGGTAAGACAAAACAGAGTAAAATCTGTGTTGTCCGATCCTTAAACACTTTGAGAGTTCAAAGTTCTACAGGAGAACTCATTGGTGGAAGCCAAAGGGAAGAACGGATGGACGTCCTCATGGAAAGGTTTGTGAAAGTGAAACCAATCTGTTTAATTTTGGTTATTTGATATCTCTCATGAAGCAAAATCTGGTCTACAGAATGGAGGAGATGGGTCTACCAATTAAGCAATACGAGTGGTACATTGACTTGAGACGTCATGGAACAGTGAAGCATTCTGGATTCGGACTCGGCTTGGAGCGTATGCTTCTCTTCGCTACAGGAATGGACAATATTAGAGACGTTATTCCCTTCCCTCGCTATCCTGGAAGAGCTGACCTTTGATAGGAGTTGAACCCCAACCGAACCAGAGTACATGACGTGACAAGTGGTCTGGTTTTATTTTATTGTTTCAGTTTTTTTTATATTAGCTGGTCTGGTCTTGGATTTTTTACGTTTACCTCCAATTTGATCTCAATTTTTATTTTTAATAAGAAATTCAATAATGAAATCAACAAAAACAAAAGTAAAATAAAATAGTGATTGTTATTATCATTAGCTATTAGGGAGAAATATTCCCGGTGAGTCAACATTTGATACTTTGCCAACTTTTTCAGAAGAGAGTCTTCCACGATCCCAGGATACCTAGACATTTATTTACCTTTATGTCAGCTAAACTATTGCATCAAATTAATCCACGATGAAAACACAATTTGAAACAACATTTCCCATTCACAATTATACCTATGAAGCAAGCAAACAATTGAAGATTTTTTACAAAGTAATATTCTTAAATGAAGACTACATGGGTCTTTTTTTCTTATGTTTGAGTTCATTCAGATCATCATTGTATATATACTTCAGAATAGGTGATATTTATGTTGTAGCCTAGGTATACAACAAATAGCTAGGAAAGGAGGAGGTTGTAAGTACGCTATGACTTACCAAGACTCCGATTTAGGTGGGAGCAATATAAGAGCTTAGATTCCATCCGGGCCAGATATAATAAACAAGTAGTGTTCATCAGAAACACCAGAGAGAAGCGGCAAAATATTGGAAAAATATCAGAACCTCAGATACAGCCACACCAGAGAGAAGCGGCAAAATTCTTTAGTCAAAAACAACAAAGTTACATGGCAGAAGATAACAAACATTAAGTTAAGAGCACACAAGTAAATGGACAATTCCGGCCGTAAACATCATGTCACATAATTACCATGTTTAGTTGATACTTTTGACCACATCCTCGTTGGGTAGTTCATACCTATTCCATGCGCTCCTTCCTCTCACAGTTGAGGAGTATCAACTTATGCTGCCAACTGTGTTGTTTCCTGCTGAGCACAAACACAAGAGGACCTGCAAAGCAAGGGTTTAAGCTTCCATCCGTTACGTTAGACTTATTCCTTTTGACTAAAAAAAATAAAATAAATCAAAACAGTCAAATCAGTGTATACATAGGCTATGTATAAGATATTTTAAAATACAATCATAAACGTTAAACAAATAGATTTTTAATCACATGATCGATCCACACGGATGTTTGGAATAAAAAATACATACTTAGATGGATCATTAACATTAACTCAAAGTATTTATGGACTAAAAGCGCAAATTAAATAGATCTTTTCCAATTTAATGTTGATTATATTGTTTGTTTCGTAATGCTAATATCATGTTATGGTGACTCCTGTTTTGTAAGTTGTGATCATCCTCCGATTTGGTTTAGCAGACATTTCGTTTAACTTAACATAATAGTAAGGTTGACAATGAAAAAGTAAGTTGTACAAGATAGTAAGTAACTTAGTAACAAACAAACAAACCCCCTAAGATCACCCCTAAAAGCTAGCATCACCACATACTAATGTTCTATTAGCATAATCTCAGACGCTAAACTAGTGGGACAATTTCATTTCAAATTTGCCAAGTCAATTCAAAATAAATCTTAATTTACAAAATAATAATAGGTGGTCTTTTCTCCCTAAAACTATACGTGTTTTTTACTTATTCATCGTCGTGTCATTGTAATAAAATTGTAAATGACAAAGAAAAAACATTACAGTTTTTAGACATTCTCGGTCAACCACAAATCCACAATGCTGTAATGGAAAAAACAGTTTTACATAATCTACTAAAAATAGCGATACAAATGTTTTATTCTACACTCACATCTAATAATAAGAATCACTACCTTTCACTGCTAATCTCTCTCTCTCTCTCTCTCTTTACAGATTCAAATCTCAAAGAAAACCAAAAAAATAATAAAAGAAGAAGAAGAAGAAGAGTGATTAACAAAAACACAAAACTCCATTTGAGTGTGATGAGGATTTATCAACCGACGTTATTATCATTCACCACCGTCGTCTTACTCTACATCTCCGCCGCCGTGGCTCGTGGTGGTTCCCGGCAACTTTTGTACACCCGAGACGACCCTATAACCATACCTCCGTACCTAATCTTCGAAAACGTACGGCTCGAAAGAGCTTACGTGGCGTTACAAGCGTGGAAACGTACCATGATCTCTGACCCGTGGAATCTAACGGCTAACTGGTTCGGATCACGTGTGTGCGACTACAACGGTGTAGTATGCTCATCATCTCTCGACGACCCTTTGGTTAAAACTGTCTCCGGCGTTGATCTAAACCATGGAGATATCGCTGGTCACCTCCCTGAAGAGCTTGGCCTCTTAACCGATATTGCTCTGTTTCACGTTAACTCGAACCGGTTTTGTGGTACTCTCCCGGTCGGGTTTTCGCAGTTGAGTCTCCTTTTCGAACTCGATTTAAGTAATAACCGGTTCGCTGGTAAATTCCCGGAAGTGGTAATCGGTTTACCGAAATTAAAGTATCTTGATCTCCGGTACAACGAGTTTGAAGGTCAATTACCAGAATCTCTGTTTGATAAAGAACTAGACGCTCTGTTCCTGAATAGTAACCGGTTCGTTAATAAAATCCCGGTTAACATGGGGAATTCTCCGGTATCGGTTCTAGTTCTAGCATCAAACCGGTTTGAAGGATGTATACCGACGAGTTTCGGTAAAATGGGTAAGACTCTAAACGAGATCATCCTAATGGATAACGGTTTACAATCTTGTCTACCTAATGACATGGGTTTACTTCAAAACGTCACCGTTTTGGACGTTAGTTATAACTGGTTGGTCGGAGAGTTACCAAAGTCGATGGGTCAGATGGAGAATCTTGAGGTGTTGAACGTTGAACGTAACATGCTCTCCGGTTTAATACCGGAGGAGTTATGTTCGCTTGAGAAGCTAAGAGAGTTTAGATACGGGTCTAACTATTTCACCGGAGAACCAGCCACGTGTCGTTATCTAGAGAATTATAATTATACTATGAATTGTCTCAAAGACGAGAGAGACCAAAGATCGATGATGGAGTGTAAGATGTTTTTGTCGAAACCTGTAGATTGTGACTCTTTTAAGTGTAGTCCTGTCTCTTCGTGTTTTTCTCCTCCTCCTCCGTCTCAAATATCACCGTCTTCGCAACCATTGGCACCGGCGCCATCTCCTACTCAACCACCATTGTCACCACCGCCTCCGGCTAGACCATGTCCGCCGCCGATATACTCACCGCCTCCACCACCATTGTCACCGGCGCCGTCTATGAACTGATCTATCTATGTGTAGAAAACTAGAAAGCGCAAGTGTTGATGAGAATGAGATTATTTAGTGTCGAAAGTAAATGCCAGATGAGATATATCTAGTGGGAACCAAAAGTTACAAGTGGAGACAACAAAGCTGAAATTTTTTAGGACACCAAAGTGTAGAGAATTTGTCTCTTTTTTTAGATTGCATGTGTGTGTGTTTGTTTAACTTTAACTTTTATATAATTTTTTGGTCTCTGTTTTTTCATATTCATTAATAAGAACAAATGTAGCAACCATCTGGCACGGATCAACGAGTCAGTGTGGTTAATTAAACTATTTGATATGCATTCTGTTACCTTTCACAAGAAAATGAATTTATGCATGAGGTAGTTGTTTATGTGAAATGAGGTTTAAATGTCGTGGTTCAATTATTTTTCTTTTGTTAAACCACATGTAGATTGAACACTAACCCCTAAAATAAATGATTCAAGTGCAATTCGTTTTTTTAGAAAATAAAATTTTCACAAGTTTTGATCCAAGTATGAGTTGCTTTGATCTTAACTTATTTTTGATAACTTTATTAGGACAACCATCTCTATACTATTAAAAGAGAAGTACAAATGAAAATGGGTCGGGTTAAAATCAGAAAATTGACCCGAAATTCTGAAATCGGATCTTTGAGATTTTTTTGGAATATAAATTCGAATTAATAATAAAAAATCAAAATAAAATAAAATATTTATAGAAATCAAATAAAATCTGATTGTACTTATGGTAAATAATAATAATAGCATATTCCAAACAATATTATACATTAATTACGTATAATAAATTTGTTCATATATTTTTGGGACTAATTCCATAACAATCAACGTTTTTGTCATTAATTTCGTTCATTTTAGCCAATTATCATTAATTGAAAGATATTTTACTTGCTTCTAAAGATTTCTAGAAAATTTATCACAAATAACCCATCTGTTTTATAAATTAAATTGATATTTTTATTTTGGTCATGTAAATTAAATAGATATTTTTATTTTGGTCGTGTAAATTAAATAGATATAAAATCCATGTAACTAATTTTAATTTAATTAGATTAAATCGAAATTATGATATTTTCATACCTATAGCTTACCAAAGAAGTTTAATTTTCAATTTATAAAGATTTCTTGAATATGATTTTAGAATTATTCAACAAAATGATAAGTATTTATTAAATTTTGTGAATCATGAAAAATAATAATTAATTTTTAATCATTATACTTCATCTTTCAATCTCTCATCTAACAAATAAAATACATATTCTATTATTACTATGTCCAAACTTCATTTTGTTGTATGACTAAATAATATTCCCATTAGAACTATCAAAGCGAGTTGATTCGTCCCGTTAAGTCCGTTTTGCGATAGACAAAAAATATTTTGACTTGTAGTTAGTCGTTCCGCACGACCCGCGGGTAGCATATATGAAATACAAACCCGTCCCGCGAATGTATGCGGATTTGCGGGATTGTCCATGAATTTTGTTTAAATAATTTTAAAGTAACCAAAATTTAAAATACTACTAAAATAAATAAATAAATCAAAATACTATAAAAAGTTTGTTTAAATTACCACATGTTGAATAAATTATAATTTTATCAATAAATACTAATATACGGGCTGATCCACCAACCCGCGGATGAAAACCGATTAAACCTATGATCCACTGCGAATTAATCCATGTGGCCCGCTTATTTGCGGGTTTAATATATTTTCCCAAATCTGCCCCATAGTGAGATGATGTGGGCTCGACCCGCGGTTTTTGACTGCTCTAATTCCCATGAATCGTCTAATTTTAGAATTTTAAAACACAAAATTCTATTTTGTAAATCATAATTAATACGATGGGTATATTTATAAACAATTTTACATTTTTTCTACAATTCGTTATTATGAATATTTATAAGTATACTACACGATTCGTTCTACTAAAAAACATACACAATATTAAACGCAACGTATGTAAACCAATATTCTCCCGCGGTGGACCGCGGGTCCGATCCTAGTTTAACTTTATTTTTGTAGATAATGTTTTGCACTTTTTTCACCCCTACACAATATTTCTCAAAGTTGGATCTACCACATGATACTACCAAGTGCGTATGAATGACATGTCTCATACTCTGATCAGTAAATTTTTCTCTCTTTTTTTTTTTTTTTTCTTTTAGGTTTTGACATCTTTATGGCATATTCTCTTTTATTTTATTTCTTGTACCTGTTATGAATCTCGTGATTCTTATTGATTAATGAAGGGTTGCCGGATTTTTCAGCCCCCAACTAGTTGCAAACTCAAGGATCCCCCTATACTTTTTTCGCTCTTAAAAAATCACCAACAACTAACAATTTCCTTAATAAAACATCCTCAACTTTCAGATTCATCTTGATTAATACGCCTCCAATTGAACCGGCCATTAAACCGGGTTTAACCACAAATCCGCGTTTACTATACCGCGATTAGGATTACCCGCATAAGTATCCATGACCCGAAAGTTAAAACGACGTCGTTTTGACTCGTATCTTTTTCTCAAAACAAAGCCAAAATGACGTCGTGTTCTCTATTCTCTCTATTTCTCAAAATCGCGAATTGGGGGTTTAGGGATTTCAAAATTAGGGTTCTTGAGAGAAAGGGAAAGGGGATTTGCGATTTCTGGGTTAAGGTTTGAAATTATGTCTGATTGGGTTGGGGATACATCGGAGTATAGGCCGTGGAAGGAATTAGTGTATCAAAGTGATCCTGATGATCCTGATTTCGTGCCTCCAGAGAGTGAGAGTGATGTGGTTGACAGTGGAATTGAAAGCGGAGATGAGGGAGATGGCGATGACGATAGTGCTGGAGGAGACGACTCCGACTCCGACAGTGAGAGTGAGAAAGACGGCGGAGGTGACAACAACGACAGAAACCGTGAGAATGATGGAGAGGGTGACAGAGATGAAATCCGAAGGAAGAGACCACGACAGGAAGATGAGGAAGGTGAAGAAGGGCAAAGAGAGAAGAAACCGAGGGGAAAAGAGAAGAAAGATCTGCGTGAAGAAGACATAATGGAGAGGTTTGAGTTCGAAATAGAAGAAGCAGTGGCAAATTGGTTTGATGAGTTTCAGATTCGTCGTGGTGTAATTCCAGAGAGTGTTAATGAAGATGAGGATCATGTGGTCACTAGAGATAGGAAGATTAGGTTAGTATCTGATGATAAGTTAGCTATAGGAAGAACATTCTTCACTGGTTTTGAGTTTAAGGAGTTTATGTTGCATTATGCAATGAAGAATAGACTAAACATTAAGCAAAATAGGTGGGAGAAGGATAAAATAAGCTTTAGGTGTGCTCAGAAGAAGGGTTGTGACTGGTATGTCTACTGCTCCTACAATCGGACAAGGCAATTGTGGGTTTTGGTGACCAAATGTTTGGATCATAGCTGTACTCCTAATGGCAAATGTAGGCTGCTGAAGAGCCGAGTGATTGCAAGATTGTTTATGGACAAGTTGAGATTGCAGCCTAAGTACATACCTCTTGACATTCAGAGGCATATCAAAGAGCAGTGGAAGTTGTGTAGTAGTATAGGACAAGTTCAGACAGGGAGGTGTCTAGCTCTGAAGTGGCTGAAAGAAGAATATGAGCAACAGTTTGCTCACCTTCGAGGGTATGTTGCTGAAATCAATAGCACAAATAAGGGATCAACTGCCATTGTTGATACAATTACTGATGCCAAAGGGAACCATGTCTTCAACCGGATCTATGAGTGTCTTGGAGCAATGAAGAATGCATTCTACTATTGCAGGCCACTCATTGGGATAAATGGAACCTTTTTGAAGCATGCTGTTAAAGGTTGTCTCTTTACTGATATTGGTCATGATGCAAACAATCAGATATACCATGTGGCATGGGCAACTGTTCAATCTGAGAATGCTGATAATTGGCTTTGGTTCTTGAATCTCCTGAAGCAAGACTTGAACTTGAAGGATGGCAGTGATTATGTAGTTATATCAGATCGCTGCAAGGTATGTGTTAGTAAAAGTAGGTTTCTTTTGTGTTTTTGAATGTATGTGGTTGTGCTTATATGTATTTTGTATCTGTTGTAGGGAATTATTAGTGCTGTTAAGAATGTCTTGCCAAATGCTGAACACAGGCCTTGTGTGAAGCATATTGTTGAAAACCTGAAGAAGAGACATGCAAATAAAGATGAGTTGAAGAAGCATGTATGGAATTTGGCTTGGAGTTACAGTGATGCCCAATATCGAGTTAACTTGAATAAGCTGAGAGCTTATGATCTTGCTTTGTATGAAGATGTCATGCATGAGGATCCAAAGACTTGGTGTAGAGCTTGGTTTAGGCTAGGCAGTTGTTGTGAGGATGTGGACAACAATGCAACAGAGTCTTTTAACGCCACAATTGTCCAAGCTAGAGCCAAGGCATTGGTTCCAATGATGGAAACAATAAGAAGACAAGCTATGGCACGCATTAGTAAGAGGAAGATAAAGGTTGAGAGATGGAAGAAAAAGGTTTCCGAGTATGTATCAGACATTCTAGCTGAGGAGGAGGAGGATGCTATCAGATGTGAAGTTACAAAAGGAACACATGGCAAGTATGAGGTTTGGGTAGATGGTAATTCTAATTCTGTGAACTTGACGACTGAAGAATGGGATTGCTCATGCTGCAAGTGGCAAGTCACTAGGATTCCATGTGAACATGCTTATGCAGCAATCATGCATGCAGAGAAGGCTGTTGAAGATTATGTTGTACCAATGTTCAATACAACAACTTGGGCAGAGATTTATGATACAGCTCCTGAACCTGTTAGAGGCCAAATGTACTGGCCTACTGGTTATGTCCTAATAACCGCACCAGAAGCTCCTGTTCCACCTGGTAGAAAGAAAGGAGAGAAGAAGAATTATAATCGGATCAAGGGTAAACATGAGTCACCAAAGAAAAAGAAGAATCCGGGTGAACCTGAAGTACTCAAGCTAGGAAGGAAAGGGATTACAATTCATTGTAGATCATGTAAGGAAGCTGGACATAATGCAGCTGGCTGTAAAAAATTCCCTAAGGAGAAGAATAGTAAGAAGACAAAGAATCAAGAAGAGGTATATCCCTTATATTTTTCTAATGTGTCTGTTTGAATGAGAAAGATGTTTAAACATGTTTATCTTTCTGTTGTAGGCTGCTGGATCTTCACAAGCACCTAAGGAGAAGAAGACTAAAAAGGGTAAAAAGAATCAAGAAGTATCTACCTCTCAGCCCTCACAGCTTATGGATCATCAAGAAGGATCACAGGGACCCGAAACACTCAACCTAACACAAAGAAGCAGTCAATGGGACCAGTGGGACTAGTAGTTGTAGGTTTTAGTCTTGGTTAGAATATGTAAGATCAGAACACCTAGTATCTTTTTGTATGTTATGGATGTTGATCTTTTGGATGTTGATCTTTTGGATGTTATTCTCGGATCATTATGTCTCTATTTAGATGTTAACAACAATGGTTCCTCAAGTTTAATTCTGCATTCTTGCATCATTATCATAGCATTACAAAAGGAACACAAAGCACAAATCTAAAGCTAAAGCACAAAGTCATTTTGTCATTACAAAAGCTAAAGCACAAAGTCATTACAAAAGCTAAAACACAAAGCTAAAGCACAAAGTCATTACAAAACACAAAGCACAAAGGCATTACAAAACACAAAGCACAAAGCTAAAGCACAAATCATTACACAAAACAGAGACATAACGACCACAAAGTCATTACACATTGTCTCAAGACCTACACTCTTCCCCATAGCCATACAATTGAGCAAAGAATAACAGAAGCAACACCTACTGTCTTCAAAGCTGACTTAGCCATAACATGACCCAGCTCCTCCACATTCTCCTTCATGATCTTCACTTCACCTTCTATCTTCTTACTCATCACATCCTCCATTTTCTCCTCCATTTTCTTGAAGTTTTCGTTTTGGAGCTTCATAGTACCCATCACTTCCATCCTCAAAGCATTGACATCCTCTGCAACTAACTTACACTTCTCCTCGACCATCCTAATTTCTTCTAAGAGAGCTTCATCAACCCATTTGAACAAGTGATTCTCATTTTCCCTCTATACAAATAAACTCCGATCAATACTCCATGGTCTTTCCAAATCAACAATTTAACCAAATAGAAAAATATACCATCATTCCAATCGCGCATCGGTAGAATCTCCGGTATGGATTCTCCTTCGTTTTTGATGTGAATGTGATGATACCCTCTCCACACCAGCAGTTCGACGGGACACCAAGAGAAGAAAAACGATGCAATGGACTTGAAGCGGATGAGTAGTAACTCGTGGTGCTCATCGCTGCAATTTCAGAAACCAAAGACTTGATGAAGATGAACCCTAATTTTGAAATCCCTAAACCCCCAATTCGCGATTTTGAGAAATAGAGAGAATAGAGAACACAACGTCGTTTTGGCTTTGTTTTGAGAAAAAGAGACGAGTCAAAACGACGTCGTTTTAACTCTCGGGTCATGGGTACTTATGCGGGTAATCCTAATCGCGGTATAGTAAACGCGGATTTGTGGTTAAACTTGGTTTAATGGCCGGTTCAATTGGAGGCGTATTAATCAAGATGAATCTGAAAGTTGAGGATGTTTTATTAAGGAAATTGTTAGTTGTTGGTGATTTTTTAAGAACGAAAAAGTATAGGGGGACTCCTTGAGTTTGCAACTAGTTGGGGGCTGAAAAATCCGGCAACCCATTAATGAATGAGGTTACAACTTATATATATACACAATAGGGAAGACAAATCCCACTTGGACTAGGAAACACTAAAGCCCACTAAGCCTAAGACTAAACCGCCTCTATGGATGCCCCAATTGCCTTGGTCGCTTATAACCTTGGGCCGACTATGGACGGGCCTTCTAGAAGTGTGTCATGGACCTTCTAGAACGTGGTCAAGGCCCACGGTTATGGAGTCCATCCGAACATGGTTTATAACACTCCCCCTTGGATGACATAACCGTGTAGATGCCAAAGGATCTCAGTAATGCGCTTGGGGGATGCTGCCTCATTAAAACCTTACTAGGAAAACCCATTTGGGACAAAACCATAGTTAAGAAAAAAGAGTACAACACGCATTACTCCCCCTGATTTGGTCATCCCTGTAAGTCCTTAAGTCTTTGCATTCCAATTTGACGCGTGAGCTTCCTTAGCGTCGATGTTGGTAATGCCTTTGTGAAGAGGTCGGCTGAGTTGTCACTTGACCGAACTTGTATCACTCGAACTTCTCCATCCCTTTGCAAGTCATGCGTGAAGAAGAACTTTGGTAGAATGTGCTTTGTCCGATCTCCCTTGATGTAGCCGTCCTTGAGCTGAGCGATACATGGCTACGTTGTCTTCACATATGATGGTCTTTGATGTTGTAGTAGTTACGCCTTGAAGAAGGCTGCCTACGTACCCTTGGAAGGGATCAAGCCACACGTAGTTCCTATTTATTGACCATGCCATAATCTGATCTTACCTGCATCAGCAAAACAAACTAAACCAAAGCAAACTAGACCTTCTTTGGTTAGATCAGTATAGAATAAAACCCAAATAAACAAAGTAGGAAGAATAAACTTTAAAATTTAACCAAACCTTCCTTCAAACCTTTCCAGTGCCTTTGGGTTGATCATGAACTAAATTTAGACAAAGGAGGTTCACGGCAAAACATATGTCTGGTCTAGTGTGGCTAGCCAAGTACATTAACGCTCCTGTGGCACTGAGGTATGACACTTCAGGATCGAGAACTTCTTCCTCGTCCTTCTTTGGACCGAATGGATCACTATCCAATCCAAGGCTTCTCACCACCATTGGGCCTGGTCAATGGGCGGGCCTGGTCCTTATTAAATATCCTTGAGTACTTTTCAGTATATGCCTTTTGATGCACAAGGATTCCATTATTCATGTACTCAGGTTGTAATCTCAAACAGAACTTAATTATTGCATAGGTCTTTCTTTTAGATATACTTAACTGTTTGGTCGATTTCCCAAAGGTTTAAATTATTCATATACACTGCTATGATTACAAATCCTTTGTTTGCAAACCTCTTTATGAAAATACATGGACTAATGGGATCATTTATAACATTCCATACGCCCATTTGGTCTAAGTCCATGAAAGGATTTGTCCAGCCTTATGCAGTGATATTCTCGAGAATCTTTCTTATCTTTGAGCTCAATACCCTCTGGTAATCTCATATATATTATCCAGTGGACTTATATAAATATGCAGGCATTACATCCATTAGCCGCAAATCAAATCTTTTTCTTTATATAGCCATACTTAGCATCCACCACAGGGGAGTATGTTTCTTCATAATCTATCCCCGGTCTTTGTGAGAATCCTTGTGCTATAAGCCGTGCCTTATATCTCACGATTTCATTATTCTCATTTCTCTTCCTCACAAAGACCCACTTGTGTCCTACTGGTTTTATCTTGGATGGTGTCCTTAAGGTCGGACCAAACACATCCCTTTTCTTTAATGATTCTTAGCTCCACGTTTTATGGTCTTGTACCATTTTAATCAATCATTTCTTTGAGTGCACTCTAGTATAGACGTGGGCTCTTGATCCTCATTTATATTCATAAATTCAAGTGATACCTTGTATGTAAATAAATCATCTTATGTCGACATTCCTTATGGGTTCCATTATGTTCCAGACATGATATAATCGATTTAGATTAATTATTATCAGGACCTTTAACACTTTGCAGCTTGGCGTCCCAAGCTACATTGTTTGGTACCTGTACCTTAGAGCCGGCCGGCCTTATCTCCATGTCTGGGATGGTTTCAGTAACCTCAGATTCCTATTGCACCTTTCTTTAATTTCTGAGGGTTTTTATCATTGGAACTTATTGGTCTACCACATTTCTTACGTTGTCTAGACTCTGTAGCAACTTGATTGTGTTCCTTGTGAACATCAATACGTACTGGTGCATTACAAGCTGGTATGTACGCTTTTATAACTCTCTTTGGGTCATCAAAGGAATCTGGCAATTCATTAGCTAGCTTTTGCAAATTTATTATCTTATGGACCTCTGAGTCACACATCAGAGTCCAAGGATCTTGCCAATTTAAGGATGTTTGATTCTATGATATTTCTTTGACCAACTTGTTCGTCTCTCCACCTATAGTAGGAAATTCGGATTGGTGGAGCAATCGGTACATATACGGCACACCCGAATGTCTTTAGATGGGATATGTCTGGCTCATGACCCGTTAATAATTGGGATGGCGAATATTTATGTTCACTAGATGGCCTTATGCGTATAAGCTCTGATGCATGTAAAACAGCATGTCCCCAAGCGGCTACTGGAAGCTTCGACCTCATGAGTAATGGTCGAGCTATCAATTAAATTCGTTTAATGAAGGATTCCGCTAATCCGTTCTAAGTATGTACATGTGCCACGAGATGTTCCACACTTACCCCCATGGAGATACAGTAGTCATTAAACGCTTGGGACATGAATTCACCGGCATTATCTAGACGAATAGTCTTAAGCGGAAAATCTGGAAAGTGAGCTCTCAGTCTTATGATCTGGGCCATGCGGTATTTAAGACCGAATCATACAATCGATTTTAGACTAGTCCATGCGGTATTTAAGATCGAACCATGCGACTATCTTGTTTATGCATCAATGAGGACCATGAAATATCTAAATGTCCCACATGGTGGGTGTATTGGTCCACATATATCCCCTTGTATCCTTTCCAGAAAATTTAATGTCTCTTTATTTATCTTTGCCGGTGATGGCCTTATAATGAGTTTTCCTTGTGCACATGCTTCACACGTGAGATTCTTAGGGATAACTCTTTTTTCTTTTAGGGTGTGCCCCTTTGAATTTATCATAAGCTTACGCATCATACTATGACCCGGATGGCCAAGCCGGTCATGCCATAAAGTGAACTTTTCGTTGGACTCTTTCATTGCCATATTAGCTTCGATTATATTGATTTTAGCATAGTAGAGACCAGTGGATGATGCGGGTATAGTCTCTAGGACTTTCTTATGTCCTTTGGTGATCTCAATTATATTTAGGAATTATTTGTTCCCTTCACCCTTTGTTTCAATATGGAAACCATTCAATCTTATTTCTTTGAAACTCAATAAGATCCTCTTTGAGCTGGGTGAATATAAGGCATCGCTTAGTTCAAAATGCGTGCCATTTGGTAATAGAATATGGGCTTGGCCGTAGCCCTCAATAAGATTTGCTATACCCGCTATAGTGCTAATATTGGTATTTTTCATTATGAGATTTAGGAAAATATCTTTTATCTTTTGTGTGGCTCCACTATCCACCATAAATATGTTCTTGTCCTCGGCCATTTCTTATATGGACAAGAATCATGTTTTAAACATAAAATAATATAAAATAAATTCAAGGAAATAACAATCAATGAAAACATAAAATGCAAAGAAAACATAGAGGTTTTAATGTCGAACTCAGATTTATCAACTTGATTCTTTTAGGCAATCAGAAGTCTCATACTCTATTAGATCATCTTGATCATGTTCACCATCTTTATATACCAAATGGGTTTGGAAATACCACATCGTCCTCGCCCTCGACCACGGTCGGAATTGGGTCTACATCCACGGTTATAGTGGTTATAGTGGCCACAACCACGTTCTTTCCATCCACTACGGCTACGGCCGTGTGGTCTATTACTTTAGACGTGGTTAGATTCTTTGGATTATTTCTTATCCTCTGCGGCCTTATTGGCATCAGGTAATGGGGTTAATCTATGAGGTCGTAATTCACTGTTTTTATCAGTAAGTCATTATTTTGCTCATCTAGCAATAGACTCATCCACGGACTTATAGTCCTGGATTATGAGACTCTCAATAAGATGGTGGCTAATATTGCCTTGTATCTATCTTTCTCTCTTGGCATTATTGCCTTATTAGATACATTCACCAAGTCCTTTTGACTTTTAGGATAATCTTAGTATTCATTGCCCATTTTAAATAATTATCTCCTAAGAGATTTAGGGCAGTAAAATACAAGTTGTAATTCAACATCTACAATGAAAAGTTTTGAGTCAAAATCATGTAATCGTTAGTGTCATGCGGTATTTGAGACCGAACCATGAATCGATTTACTTAGGGATTTGACTTTCCTCTTTTGCTTAGGATTAGATTTCCTCTTTTGCTTACGATTAGATTTCCTTTTTAATTAGGATTAACTTTTCCTTTTCCTTTTAGGATTTACTTTTCTCTTTACTCTAGGATTAATTTTCCTATTTCACTTATGATTTTAGATTTTTAAGATTTCCTATTTTATTTAGGATTTGGAAATTTTCTATTTCTTAAGGTTTTCCTATCTTGAATAGGATTTATGAAATTCCTAATTTAATTAGGATTTATAGATTTTCTATTTTGAATAGAATTAAGGATTTTCCTATTTACAATAGGATTTAAGATTTTCCTATTTTAATTAGGATTTTAGGGTTTTAATATTTCCTATTTTAATTAGGATTTTAGGGTTTTAAGATTTCCTATTTTAATTAGGATTTTAGGGTTTTTAAGATTTCCTATTTTAATTAGGATTTTAGGGTTTTTAAGATTTCCTATTTTGATTAGGATTTTAGGGTTTTAAGATTTCCTATTTTGATTAGGATTTGAGGGTTTTAAGATTTCCTATTTTAATTAGGATTTTAGGGTTTTACTATTTTCTTTAGGATTATCTTTTCTAAGGTTTCTAGGGTTCATGCGATTTTAGTTTTAGGGTTTCTAACAACTTATGCATGTAATCAATCAAAGAAACAATCAAACTAAAAACGCCCTAAGCAAGTAATTTGCGTAACCCATGTAATTTGCGTAACCCATGTAATTTGCGTAACCCATGTAATTTGCGTAACCTCAACCAAACGTGATTTAGAATTTAGGGTTTTGATCCGATTAGAGTGTTTTTCAATTTAGGGTTTATGTCTTTTAGGGTTTCGGATTCTAGGTTAAGATGTTTTCGATTTGCGAGTTTAGGATAAGCAATAACAAGCTTTCTAGCAACCTAAACAAGTCAAGCAATCGAGCAAACAAACAATCGGACCAAGCAATCAAATCGCAAACACTTATCAACCATTCGTTTTAGGGTTTTAGTTGTTTGTTAGGTCCAAATTCGATTAGGGTTCTTTAGCTTTAGGGTTTGTCAAGTTACCTTTCTCCTTTGGGGTTGTACGGATTGGAACCGGGAGCTAAAGACCTCGGTTATCAAGCTTTTCACGAACGTACGAACCTTGTAAGAGATCGCCGAGCAAGGAGCAAGCAAACGGCCGGCGGACGAGCTTTAATGGAGCGGCGGAGATCGGCGGCTTTTAGGGTTTTGTTAAGAGCAAGTCGTGCTGATAACGTGTTATGAATCTCGTGATTCTTATTGATTAATGAATGAGGTTACAACTTATATATATACACAATAGGGGAGACAAATCCCACTTGAACTAGGAAACACTAAAGCCCACTAAGCCTAAGACTAAACCGCCTCTATGGATGCCCCAATTGCCTTGGTCGCTTATAACCTTGGGCCGACTATGGACGGGCCTTCTAGAAGTGTGTCATGAAACTTCTAGAACGTGGTCAAGGCTCACGGTTATGGAGTCCATCCGAACATGGTTTATAACAGTACCTATTATTTCCTTTGGAATATTAGTTCGAGTCAAAATTTTGACGGAAAAAAAAATGCATATCAGTAGAGATTAGATATTTTTCGAGTCAAAATTCTAAAGATTGGACATTGGACTAAAATGTGTTATTCTGAATATTGAAAGGATTGAAGAAATTGATAGCTTGTCTACATCATTCATAGAGATAAGATTGATGATTCTTAGCGAAAACTTTTTGTAAGTAAACTAATGAAAGATTTCCATAGAATCAAAACTATAAATTAGATATTTCCAATCATTTAGTTGCCAGGTCACACACACCTGTGTCTCCGCAACAAGTTAATCAAGTCCAACACGTAAAATATTTCCATATTTAAAACTTTATTGCATTCTTTAGGCAAAATATATTTCAAAAAATAAATTAATTGTATGATTAAGAATTTGGTAACTAATAAGGCATTCATCGAAAATATGATCTCAGACATTTGGAAAGTTGAAATTATTTGGTGACATCTGTATAAACATTTGGTGAAATATTAATGGGATATTAATTAAACTTAGTAATTATGGAAATAATAAATATTGGTCTTTAGATATTTCGCTGTCAACTAAATAAAAATAATTTGGTTGACGTTTCATTCCCCAAATTAAGAACAAGCAAAATTCGAAGTATCTGGAAATTTTTCCGTCCTTTATAAAAACCCAGACGCGTTTTTTTTCTTTACTCAAAATTTCGTCACCTGGAAAAAAAAAGTTGATTTTATTCGTCGTCAGTTTCAATCGGAGATTTCTTGGTTCGGAGCTCGCGAGAATTATCGCCGGAGAATTTAGCGTCTCTGAAAATTCTGATCGGTGAAGAATCGTCGGATCGAAAGTTCGTTATCTTGTTTACGTTGTTTCATTGATTTAGATTTTAGATCCTTCTTCATTCTTTGGCTTTTTTTTTTTCTTGGTAATGTCTGTGTTTCTGAATGTGTGGTTGATTTTTGTTTGTACACTTTTAGTTTGATCGATTAGGTTAGTTTCTTGAAAAATTGGAAGATTTCAGAAGAAGAAACGATCCGTACGTAATCTAGAGTCTTGAATTTGACCTAATTATCTCTCCAGAAGATATAGACGATGTTAAGGAAGACATTATATTGAATCAAATCCATGACCATGAGGCAGTCTTTTTGAGGTTGCAGGGCAGTTCTTGTGGGGTCTTTGGTATCTTTAGGAGGGATTTTAGGTGCTGTTTCAGGAGAGTAAAAGTCAGATTCAAGGTGAGTCTGAGAGCTTGGTTCTTGTATCTTCTGGTCTACCAATGAAAGGATCCATGAGAATGAGACATATAGGTCACTGAGAAACCATCCTTGTTGTTGATCTAGTGGAAAAAAACGATTCTTTTCTATCCCACTTAGTCGCTATTTCTTCCTTAATCTTGACTTGTGCAATCTTCATTCTGCCTAAGCATTTCCCTTGATCATGAAACATCTTTAATCATCTGTTTACCATCTCTGATTTGGCCGAGAGTGCTCTTTGTTTTGTCATCTCATCTAAGGTGGAATAATAGAGGGTCCTCATAGTTATTCTTGAAGAAGGCGGCATGAATGCTCCCTTTGTTTCTAGTCTGCTTATCTCAGCTATGGTCCCCGTATTGACTTTCCTTAGAGCATATCTCGTTGTTGTCCTTGATGAAGTTTTTGCTCCCTCGAGCATGCGGATCTTGTGAACATCAGAAGATTTTATTTCCTTTGATTATGGGGTTACCATTTAGGTCAAGACAAAACAGGCCAGCTTTAAAGATGGGGTTCCATAAACTAGGAGTATCCTTCAGAATTTTGTTTCCTTTAAGAAATTTCTGATTCGTATGTCGACTCAAGAATATTGGTGAAAAGTGGCAGTGGGAGGTAGGTCTATTCTCTTTGGACACTAACCCATCTCTTTAAAACCCGGTTATTCCCATGTTTATGTCAGTCCCAAACCTTGTTTGATGGTGTTTGCCTTGCTTTTACGATAGGTTGGGCATATCCGGTTTAAACTGGATAGATTTCCCAAGATTGAAGGACTGAAGTGTGAGCACTCAATGTGCTAAGCTCTTATTTCTCTATGAAAGCTCCATCAACCAAGAGGGCTGTTTTTAGTTGTTTAACAGGATACTTGTAGATCTTGTTTTGGTGATTGTTCCTCTTGGAGAAAGCTGATTGGAGCTGTTTCAAAAATGGATTGTCTTGGTGCTGATTGGATTGGTGTGGTGCAATGTAGATGGAAGCAACAATTCATCGAGTTTTTTTGCTGGATTTTCAGGTGACTGATAATGTTTTCAAAATGAGGAATATATTTTCTAAATATATTCTTACTTGCAGGTTTCATAAGCTTTCCACCAGCTAGCAGTGTCTGCCAATATCACTGACAGATAATTCGTAATGGGAGACGTATATTTCAACCATTTCGCTGAGCAACCGCAGATGTTTGACCAAGAGAAGGGTGAAATGTCAAGTAATTTGCACCCTCATTCAATCAATGAAGACTCTGAATCGTCAACTCTGGAAAGGGTAACAGCAGAGTCATTAATAAACAAAGTCCTTGGTAGAGGACTAATGGAGCATGGGTAGGTATTTATAAATTCTAAGCATTGAGCTTGTTTCTTGGATTAATTTCCCCATGTGCTTTCAGATGTCCACATTACAGGAGAAGGTGTTGCATTAGAGCTCCTTGCTGTAATGAGATCTTTGGTTGCCATCACTGTCATAATGAGGCGAAGGTAGAGTTCTTTTTTTCAAGTTATAGATTTCAGGAAACTGCCTTTTGTAACTGCTATTTTTTCCAAAATCTGTATACTGACTCTTGTAATCATGTCTTTGAATCAGAACAACATAAATGTAGATCAGAAGCAGAGGCATGATATTCCTCGCCACCAAGTTGAACAGGTAAAGTAGTCTATATATCTTAGTTGCTCGGAGTTTATTATGTTGTGTTTGATTCCCTATTGACAAGATCTCTATCTTCTTCGTCACAGGTTATTTGTTTACTCTGTGGTACTGAACAAGAGGTCTGTTTTGACTTTTATACTTTCTCTGGACTTTTGCTGCGTTTAGTAATCAGACATTTTCTTAACTTTGTTCTCTGGTACCAGGTGGGCCAAATTTGTATCCATTGTGGAGTGTGCATGGGGAAGTACTTCTGTAAAGTCTGCAAGCTCTTCGATGATGATGTAAGTTTCCGAGGAGAACTTATTGCTAAGCTTTTTTGTTGTATCCATTTTCTTTTTCTCATGCTACATACTAGGCCTTGATTTTTCCAGGCTTTTTTATTGTTGCTGGTTAACCATTATGTTGCTATCTTGTTTCCAGACGTCTAAAAAACAGTACCACTGCGATGGGTGTGGAATTTGCAGGTACATTCTTGGACTCCTCGCTAACATACAACATGTTTGATTTACTCCACACACTATAAATTTGTTCATAACTAAAATCTTACTTTTGTTTCAGAATTGGAGGACGTGAAAATTTCTTTCACTGTTACAAGTGTGGTAAGCCATCTTCTGCATCAGATAACCTCAAATTTCAAGATTGGGCAATGCTATATTTGTTGATTTGTGAAATCTAACCAGCTCTCTGATTCTCAAACCAGGCTGTTGTTATTCAATCCTCCTCAAGAACAGCCACCCTTGTGTTGAAGGAGCAATGCATCACGACTGCCCCATTTGCTTTGAGGTATTGCTCATTGTTAGTTTTGTTTTACTTCTCCACTGTAAACATGAGCGTCCCTTGTTAACAAAAACTGTTTTGGCTGGTTTCCTTCCAGTTCCTGTTTGAATCACGGAACGATGTGACGGTTTTGCCATGTGGACACACAATCCATCAGAAGTGCTTGGAGGAAATGAGAGATCATTACCAGTAAGTACATAAATAACTCAGGGGCTTGTGTCCTATTTTCAAATGTTGCTATTGTATATATCAACTGACAACTCTAAATTATGACTGCAGATATGCGTGCCCACTTTGCTCAAAATCCGTATGCGACATGTCAAAGGTGTGGGAGAAATTTGACATGGAGATTGCGGCTACACCAATGCCAGAACCATACCAGAACAGAATGGTCAGTATGAACTTACTTACTTAGTTACACCTTATCCTCGAACCAAGAACTAAAAGTCTTGTTGACGGTGACAAAACAGGTGCAGATTCTCTGCAACGACTGTGGGAAAAAATCGGAGGTAAAGTACCATGTGGTGGCTCAGAAATGCCCAAACTGCAAATCATACAACACTCGCCAAACCCGAGGCTGAAGCTCTTATCGGACATGGCGTTTTGAAGTTTGTTTGCTATCAGATGCAATTAAGAGCTTTCACTTGAACGAATAGTGTCATTTGGCTCCTTCACCTGAGGACTGGTCTCTCAAGTCTATCTCTTCACTCATTTCTTCAATATTCTCTGGGTCGTCTCTTGTTCACTAAGTCTATGTCTCCTTGGTGTTAGTTTCCTTTAGGATTAGTCTCCTTTTGTAATTCTGCGGCTCTTTTGAGTAGTTCCGTTTATTCTGATAATAAAAAATCCCAAATTTGAACTTGTGGGAATTTTGTACCTTTTGCATTTGGAATTTTTCGAATGTTCGAATAAAATCATTTGGTTACTCCTGTTTAAGATAATTATATATTTAGCATTTTTTAGATTATTGGTTGCATTTTGAATAAAGTTCCTATTTTTTGTTGGCTGGGTTTAGCTATTTTAATATGAATTTAAATATTTAATACTTAAAAATGAAAATATTTGAAACTGTTTCGCTGCTCCTCTAAAAGGCCAACGAAAATCACGTCTCAAAAATAAATCCGTTTCGTCGCTTATACACGAGACCTCTCGCTTTGAAATATCTCTCTCTCGCTTGGCGATAATGGCGGAATCACCATCTCACAGTGATGCTCAGCTTGTTGCTCATCAATCTCCTGGTCAGCAAGCGGAATCGGATCTGGCTTCTCTCGTCTTCGGTTTGTTTTTTTTTTTCTCTTTCCCTCTTATCGTTATTCATTCAAATTCGAATTTCGAACTGACCTAGAAATCAGGATTGAGCTTGAGTTACGATGTCGAGTTTGTGTTTACTTAATGGCTTAATCGCTTGATCTAAACTTGAATTCGCATTTAGCTATAATCCACCTGTGGAAATCGCATTTAGAATCCGCCATTGTTAGTTGCTTCTCTCGCAAATAGATCTGTAGGTGATACTTAGAATGAAAGATGTGCATTATCGTTGGTTTGATCAATTTTGGAATCTCGTAGTTGTTATATTTTGTTATACTCTCGATACACTATTCGTTAACCCTTTGGCATATGCAAATTGCATTAGTTTACCTTGTTAAACGTTTCATGGATTTAGATCAGTGGGTGGATTTGAGATTACAAGTCAATGTTGTGTCTATTTCGCGAATTCTGTATGTTCTCCATACACTATCCTTTAACTCTTTGGCTTGTTCAATTGCATGAGCAGACACCACAAGTCGTTTTAAAGGTTTATCATTAAATGTTTCATGAATTTTGATTCAGTGAGTAGATTGAGATTACAAGTCAGTGTTGAGTCTATTTTGCGAATTCTGTATGTTCTCGACACATTATTCTTTTAACTCTTTGGCTTGTTCAATTGCATTAGCAAACACCATAAGTCGTTTAAAGGTTTATCATTATATGTTTTCATGGATTAGAATCAGTGGATGGATTTGAGATTACAAGTCAATGTTGTGTGTCTATTTCTTTTTGTATATAGATTTTTAGCCATGTCCTGATTATGTTGAAAACAAACGCAATTGCAGAAATGTCACAGCAAGTTCAGATGGGAATGGAGAATATGCTCAAGATGGTCAAGTAAATACATGTTTATGTTCGGTCTCTACTACAAGTCTTGTAAAGTGGCTACTTGCTGAGTGCTGATCCAGTGCCTCTCTTTCTTGGTTGACAAAATCTCTGCAGTGAAATCGATCAAAACTCTGTTGGAATCAAGGAAGAGATTGAGAAATCAAAGGATTTTGCTATGGAGAAGAAAAGGATTCTCGAGGAGGAGAAAGACCAGTTTCAGAAAGCTGCTTACACTATTCTAGACATGCTAAGCAACAGCCGAGGCTAAATCCGGTACTCACTTTAACCTCTCACAGATTCACTTAGGCATGAAACTGCTAAATTGATCATTACCTGATTCAGTTCCTTATTTCTAATGTAGGAGCGGATGATGCTCTTGGAGAAACTATATCAGGTAAAGGAAATATTATAAATGTCAATAAAGAATCTCACTGGTTTGGTATTGTATCTACATACAATTTAAGGTATTAGTTTCACATTGCTATTATTGCAACTTTTATCACAATGTGTGAATTCAGAAAATACGTGTGGTTGAATCCAGTATATTCGGATTGAAGTGAAAAAAAACTCATAAAAATAGATTACAAATGAACAAGAATTTGCTCAACTTGTCATGTAGTATATATTCGTTTTGATATTATGCGGATCAAAGATTGAGATATTCATATTTGACCATAAGTTATATGACTTTCTTTGCATGTTAATGTACTGTTTAAGTCGTGTCAAACAAAAAGGTACTATTCAGGACCACGTACAATAGCAAAAAGAAATTAAAGGCGAATTACTAAAGTTTTCAGAATAAAGGGACTAAAAATAGAAATAGAAGAAAATACAAGAAAGAACAAAAAGGGAAAATAATAGCCCTAGGGTGTTTTAGGGTAAAATAGTAAATAGTAAAATCATTCCTCTTTTGGCGGGAGAATTTCCCCCAGAAATTTTCTTTCTCCAATTTTTATACATTCTCCACTCCCACAAAAACCCATTCATCTTCCACTTTCTCTCTCCGACAAAAATGGTAACGCTCCGCCAGAGGAAGACGGTGGTGACCAGAGAACCTGAACCGAAGATGGAAGAAGAACGACTCTGCGAAGGCTTAACGATTCTTTCCTCCGATTCAGCTGTGAAGCACTTGCGTGGACGTTGGGAACTTGCTTCTGTTCTCAATTTCTTCAATGTATGATTCTAGGGATTTGTTAGAGATTTTGCTTCTTGGGTGCTTCAATTTCATGGGAAATTAAAAATTTTGTGTTGTTGTGATAGGTCTTTGGACCACTTGTCTCGGAGAAATTGAAGTTAACAGCTGAAGAAATTGAGATGGGTCTTATAGAGTCCAACACTACAAATGCTCAGCTTCACATAGCTCTTTTGAAGGTTTTGACCTTGCAGCTGTTAATGGATACTAACAAGCTTAAGTTTATGTGTTTGTTGCCTTATAAGAAACTTCTGGATGTGAATTTATCTCAGGGGATACCACCGGTGAATAAAACGCTAGACGATGCAAATGCTTGGATCACGGTGTTGTGTAAGAAACTTGCTCCATGGTGGCCATGCGTAAGACTACACTGAACCATTTTGTTAGCTTATATCTTCTTCTTTTTTGTAATAGGTTTATGTTTTTCCTTATTGATGGTTCCTGTAATGCCATTGTTGCAGATTGCTAAGGGTGAAATTCCTATTACTGCTAACAAAGGGTAAGTGGTGAAATGATGTGAATTTATTCAGGTTGAGTTGGGATTGATAACAACGTTCTTTTCTTCTGGTGTATGAATAGGGAGGAGATATCTGAATACCAACGACTTGACCCTATTAACCGCCTGAAGATTCTTAAGGCACTTTGTGAGCTTCGAGTTCAAGTAATTTCGTCTCTTTATTTAGTTGTTGAAGTCTATTTTTTAATGCATGCCTTGCCTATAAAGAAAAACAATGTAAACAAGATCATTACTAGTTACATTTGTTAATTTCGGTAAATGGTGTAGCAAGATGATGCTCGTACGTATATTCAAGAAAATACCAAGGAAGGAGACAGGGATTCCTGTTTCCGAAAAAGGAAGTTAGGAGGAGATGGAAAGAAGACTTCTTACTGGTACTTACACTTACATATCCTTTTTCTATGTTTCTACATTTAATGTGAATGTGATCAACATTTATCTTCGCTGTAGGTTTGATGGTAATGACATCCAGGGGTACAGAATATATAGGGAAGTCAATGAAATCTCAAAGAAGAATGCTGGCTCAGATTTATCTTGTTTGAGCTGGGAAACTGAAGCAACCAATTTAGATGAATTTCAGAGAGTCGCTGTAAGATTTTGATCTTTAAGATGTCTGTAATTGTTTTAACATTCATTAAGTATATATCCTGTAATGGCAGAGGGAGTTATCATCAAGCAAAGCTTCTTCTTTGGCTGCAATTGGCGGGATGATTGAGACAGAAGCTATACCCGTTGTTGAGAAATATCATAAAGTATTTTTTTTCCACTGCTAGCTACATCTCTCAAATTCGGTCTTTATGCTTATGCGCACATCTTCTATACCATGTTTTTATGGTGTTTCATTTTTTCTGCAATAACAGAAGAAAGAAAAGGCCATGAAAAGGAAAATGAAGCAAGAGATGGTCGTTAATTTCTCGCTTCCTCTCCGAACTACCCGTTCTTGTCGTAATCGCATGCCTGCTACGTACACCTTTGGTAAAGTCATCTTTTCTTGCGTTTCCTCCGGTTATTTGATATATTCTTTACCTGTTGGCGTGGCTTATTAGTTTGCATATCTTATTATGCAGATGAGTATGACAAGATGATCAGTGATGCCGTGGAAGAAACAGAGTAAGAGCTTGACTTCTATCTTAATACAAGTCATCTATACATCAATACTTAGCACATATGAGGTAGTATTTGCATTTGGGTAAATAAACTCTCGAATAATCTGATGAACTAGAATGAAACCACTGTTGATGTATAGATTCGTTTTCCAGTGTACCATTGGTTTGAAATCAAGCCCAAATTAGTAAGTGACGTTTGTCATGTAACTCTATCTGTCAATGGTATGCTGAAAACCAATTTAGTATCAGAAACAGATCGATTGCCTGATGAGTTATGAAACTGCTACCATGCTCTATAGCTCATTCCTTTCTGTCTCTTCCATAGTAATAGATTCAAATTGATTTACTGACAGCTTTGAGTCGGTTTGATGATAGAGCGTTAGTATGAAGAAACCTCATCATTTACTTTTTTTCTTGATCAGGGACACCGATGGAGATGAGGTAGAAGGAAGGGAGCAACAAAGTACCTCAAACGACAGTTCTGAAGGTAACAAGGTGAAGTCAACAGAGGATGTAGGCGATGAAGCACTTGAAATCCACAATGAGGATGAAAAAGAGAATGAGAAAAGCAAGGAGGACGCAGAGCCAAAGGAAGAATTCGGTGCCAAAAACAGGTTGAGACAAAGAGTTACCAGGAACTCAGCCATCTGTTAGTTTAAAACCTCAATGTTGTTGAAGAAATAGTAAAAAGCTTTTGAAGTGTTGTCTGTTGGTGGAGAGACCAAGCTTTTGATTAGAAGGTTTAGAACTTGGGAGATATATTTTCCTTTTTTGGTATATGATGATGATATACTCCATTCCTAACAGTGTAGATTTGACTCTTATTATGTAGTATCTCTTCCATCTTTGATATTATGGTAAATTATTTTGAGAAAAGAGTTTAGGTCTTTGACTGTCCTTAATGTGGTTCCTCAACTGTGTTACTAGAAGTTTAAAATAGATATTCCATAGTGAAAATTTGATTGTAATAAGTCAGGGTGGCCGAGTGGT